GCGGGTCTCGAACCCGCGGGCTCGGGCAATCCACTCACCTCAGCCTCCCAAAGGCGCGGGATTACAGGCTGAGCCACCGAACCCGGCTTATAATGATTTCTAAAAATTATATTGCAGAAGGGAAACAAAAAGCGGCTGACTTTGAAGACCTACTCTCTGGTCAAGGTTTCAATGCTCACAAAGACAAAAAGGGGCCTCGGACAATAGCTGAGATGAGGAAGGAGGAAATGGCCAAGGAAATGGATCCTGAGAAATTAAAGGTGAGCGAGCCCCTGACTCGGTGTGAGTATTCTATACGACAAGGTCATGGGACAGAGTTGTGTGTGTGTAGCATGAGATATGGACCAATTATCTTAGTCCATTCGGTCTGCTATAACAAAATTCCATAAACTGCATGACTTATCAGCCACAGAGATTTATTGCTCACAGTTCTGGAGGCTGGGAAGTCGAAGGTCAAGGTGCCCGCAGATTCAGTGTCCTCTTCCTGGTTATGGATGGTGGTCTTTTACGCTGTGTCTGCACATGGCGGAAGGAGAAAGCAGTCTGACTCAGGCCTCTTACCTTCGGGTGCTAATCCCATGGGAAAGACTCTACCCTCATGACCTAAGCACCTCCCAAAGACCCCAACATCCTCATACCATCGCCTTGGGAGTTAGAATTTTAACTTGCGAAGTTTGGGGGACACACACATCCAGACCACGGCAGCTACAGATGGCACCGTATTAATCTCTGGTGACCACCGTGTTTCAGCTGGTCCCTGTAGCTGTGATGTGAGTATAGCCAACAGCAACATTGTCTTGGGGAGCTTGCATAGGCTGTTTCATTTCTTTAGTAAAATGCATTCCATTTCATGGTATGACAATACAGATTTCCTTTGTTTGCCTGTTCCAATGGGCAGTGGCACGCTTTAACTGGTGACTTTGTTGTTCAGACAGCGTTCGCATTCTAAAGATAAATCTCATTACTCTTTGGTGGTACAGAGGATGTCGTACTTTAGTTTTCTGTCTCTGCCTTGAGGGCTTTTTATTCGGCCAGATTGACCGAAGGCCCCAGGATCTCTTCTCTGCTGGTGGAGAGAGGGACTGTTTACATCCCCGGGAATGACCACCTCCTGTAGCACTGGGCCTGGAGGCTTGGGAAGGTGGGGAAAGGAAGGCTGAGCAAAGGGTCCTGTCTCCCCTCTGTCTCCCTCCACTTTTAAGCAGAACACTTCTACTTTTATCTGTTTTTTTATTCTATGGGTTAGAATTTGATTTGGGGGAAAAAGCATGTTTGTGCGTTGGTTTGGTTCTTTTTTTAAGTTTGCCAGTCAGCGAATCCACCTTCCTCGTTTCATAGATGAGGAAACGCACCTTCATAGACGAGGATGTTGTATGGACAGGTGGACACAGATGGGCTTGGAAACAGAAAGGAGGTTATGCTGACAAAGGGTGTGAGGTTTTGGGGGCATGTATAAAGATCAAGAGACCTGGAATGCTCTTCACTGAGATGCTGAGTGATGAGACACCAGACAACTGACGTTGCAACCAACTGACAAAGGGGGAGCTCATGTGTCCCTGTGTTAAAGCTTCTGCAAAACTAGGCTTTGAACGGCAAGTCAATCTTAGACATCTTGGAAGCATGTACCGCCATTCTCCCTACATTTCTGACAGATTGGACATTTGTTACAGATGGACAGATTCATTGAGACATTCTTGAGTATAATGTAGGGGATTGGATTTGTGTAATTTTCATTTCACGTATTGTCGAGGCTTAAAATTCCTTCCAAAAGCTTTGTGGCTCATCTCAAAAACATTTGCTCATTAGGCAAACTCTGACAGATTTCTGTAAAAGACAGTGGCTTATTCCTTTTAAATTATATAATTGGCGCAGGGCATGTAACTGGGTGGGAGAGCGGCCATCACTGAGGTGACCAAACCATTTGTCCAACAACAAACGCTCACTGAGCTATTACGACCTCCTCAACTTAATCCCCTCATTTGTTCAAACTACATGAGGAAATGGAGCAATTCATTTAGCAAGCCTTTTTGACCTCCGTTCTGCCCCAGGTATATTATTTGGTTCCTGAGACCCAGTGATAATGGGTAAGAAACAGTATCTTTCCTCAAACAGCTCTGCCTAGTGGCAGAGAATGACAAACGTACATACAATAAAGTGTGGCACATATTATGATAGAAATGTAAGGTAGAGTAGCCCAGAGGAATTTGGCCTTTTTAAAAAAAAATGTAATTTTATTTTATTTTAGATTCAGGGGGTACAATTGCTTATTTGTTACATGAACATATTGTGTAGTGGTGAGGATTGGGCTTCAGGTGACCCATTCCCCAGACAGAACATTGTACCCAATAGGTAATTTCTGAACCCCGACCCACCTCCCTGCTTGTTTAGTGTCCCCAGTGTCTATTATTTGTGTTTAGTCCTTTTTTTTTTTTTTTTTTGAGTTGGAGTCTCACTCCGTTGCCCAGACTGGAGTGCAGTGGCCGCTCTCGGCCACTGCAGCCTCGACCCGCTGGGCTCTGGCGATCCTTCCGCCTCAGCCTTCCAAGTAGCCGGAATTACAGGCGCGTGCTACCACGCCCGGCTGATTTTTGATTTATTGTAGAGATGAGGTCTCGCTGCCCAGGCGGGTCTCGAACACGCGGGCTCAGGCAATCCACTCACCTCAGCCTCCCAAAGGCGCGGGATTACAGGCTGAGCCACCGAGTCTGGCTAGTCCTTTTTTTTTTTTAAAGGGATATTTATTTAGAGTAATGGGTGTCCTCATAGAGCTTATACAGAGTAATTAACTCTGGGGCAGCCAGATGGGAAGACATTCAAACTTTGAAAGGCTAACAGTGTGAAATTCCTAAGCAGGCTTTTGAAGGATGATAGAGTTATCCAGAAAGACAAGGTGGCAGGTGGAGGTGGAACAGCCTTCCAGGTAGAGGACACAGCTCGGAGTATGCAGGTCACCCCAAGTGTTTTGATGTTGCCGGGGCAGGAGAAGTTTCCAGTGGAAACCTTTTGGACTGGTAAAGCATTTGAATTTGTTTATTTTTTATTTGTTTTTTGAGTCAAGATCTCACTCTGTCACCCAGGCTGGAATATAGTAGCTTGATCACAGCTTACCTCGACCTCCTGGGCTCAGATGATCCTCCCACCTCATCCTCCCAGGTAGCTGGGACTACAGACATATGCCTGGCTACTTTTTTTTTTTTGAGTTGGAGTCTCACTCTGCTGCCCAGGCTGGAGTGCAGTGGCACACCCACTTGCTGGGCTCCAGTGATCCTTCCGCGTGAGCCTTCCCAGTAGTGGGAACCACAGGCATGTGTTACCATGCCTGGCTAATTTTTGATTTATTATAGCAACGAGGTCTTGCCAAGTTATCTGGGCTGGTCTCGAACCTGTGGGCTCAGGCAATCCACTCGCCTCGACCTCCCAAAGTGCAGGGATGACAGGCTGAGCCACCAAGCCCGGCCTACATTTTTTTTTTGAGTTGGAGTCTCACTCTGTTGCCCAGACTGGAGTGCAGTGGCCGCTCCTGGCCACCACAGCCTCGACCTGCTGGGCTCCAGCGATCCTTCCGCCTCAGCCTTCCAAGTAGCCGGAATGACAGGCCTGCGCTACCACGCCCGGCTGATTTTTTTATTTATTGTAGAGATGAGGTCTCTCTGCCCAGGCGGGTCTCGAACCCATGGGCTCAGGGAATCCACTCACCCCAGCCTCCCAAAGGCACGGGGTTACAGGCTGAGCCACCAAGCCCGGCTTACTTTTTAAAATCTTTTGTGGGATGAGGTCTTGCTATATTGCCCGGCCTGGAGCATTTGAATATCTCAATCCCCCCTCTGTGTACAGATTCTGGAATGGATCGAAGGCAAAGAAAGAAATATCAGAGCCCTTCTTTCCACGATGCACACCGTGCTGTGGGCTGGAGAGACCAAGTGGAAACCAGTTGGCATGGCGGACCTTGTGACACCAGAACAGGTGAAGAAGGTGTACCGGAAGGCTGTCCTGGTGGTACACCCAGACAAGGTGAGGACAGCCAGACCTGTCATGCCATTCGATGGGTCCTTCACTATTTTATGAGCATGAGTCTTACTTTCCATTTGCTGGTGGAAAAGACCATTTATTTAAATGAATGAATAGCAAATAGTCATACTTTATGAAGTAAGACAAAAGAAATCAAACTATACGTTACAAGGACTTTATTTAGAGACATGCAAGATCCACCAGTGACTAATTTGGGGGGTGCAGAAGTAAGTTGTATCTTGACTTACATAGTAAGGACAGGCTAAAAACTGGATAGAGGAGATACATCCGTATGTTTAGCCAGGATTGTCATGCAAAAGCCTCAAAATATAGTTGGCAAAATTGGTGCACGTCCACAAAATATTCAAAATGGAACTAAACGGATCACTATATCATGTCAGTTTTTGTTTTCAGTGAGGTATATGTATGCACGTAAGTGCTCTACACTATCAGAAACTTCTACTAACTCATGGCACAGTTGAGATCATAATACGTTGAGACATTTCCGACAGAAGCTAGTCATCTTGTGGTCACGTAGACTAAACCAGTCATATGACATGAAACTGTGATTGAAGTGCCACTCGGGAACACACACTTGAATCGGATATATTTGATTTTCATCTCTCCACATTTTTGTGGCTACTCTGAATAGAAGAATGAGTGAGAAACAGTGTTACGACTTGAGTTTTGGTGAATAAAAAGAGAGAGGGAAACAGGAGTTCAGAAAAATCTCCAAACCATATGCCCTGTTATGGGCCTCAAAGAACTATTTAGAAATGGGAGTTTAGAAATACAGACAATTAACGGAGATAGACTTTCATGAACCTCTGTTGTTTGGTAGATGCTTCTGGAGAGCAAAGATGCACCTTTTCCTGCCCAGCAAGCCCTCTGTTATCTACTCGTTGACTGATTACTACCCCCTATGTGAATTTTGAGAGAGAGTGCATTGTAGATAGGTCATAGGAATTAGGGTAAAAAAGATTAAGTTGTAAAAACAAAAACAGCCAAATAGAAAACCATTTCAAGAACCTAGAACCCACATATTAGCAGTGAAAATTTTAATAGAAATGAGCATTTGATTGGTGGTATCTAACATGTGTTGTTTTTTTTTTTCTGTAGGCCACGGGGCAACCCTATGAACAGTATGCAAAAATGATTTTCATGGAGCTAAATGATGCCTGGTCTGAATTTGAAAACCAAGGCCAAAAGCCCTTATATTAGTTTATGAGCTTTTCTGTCTCTGCTGCAGACCTGTGCTAATGCTTAGTGTGTCACAATTCTGAGGTTTTCACAGATGAACCAAAAACTCCAGTAACATGTTTCTAAGACTGAACTGTTAAATTACTTGTGAATTAATTTCTCATTGAAAAGGAACATGGTTGTTTGGTTTCTCCAAGTCCCCATCATAAAAGATCTAAAGCGTGAGAGGAACTTTTAGCTGGATGACCCTACAGAGAGACAACATTCCATCCTGACCTTTGGGGAGCCCACTCAGCATTTTGCCTGGGGGGAAATAGCAAATGGAGGCCACCACCCATGAAAGCATAACACCCATCACGTTGCCCGAGAACAGAATTAGTGAGCACACATTATAATAATTGAATGAAATGATGGCTTAAAATAATGGTTTCTAGATTTTCTTAGAAAGATATAATTTGAGCAATGGCTTTATGCAGATTCCAGGAACACACCCATCAGGTACTTTTTTTTTTTTAGTGGAAATTTACTAAGGCCTTCAGCATAATACTGTTTACATCTTTTGGTCAAGAGGACTAACACATACAAAGGAACTTAAATGGCAGGAACTGATTATTCTTCAGTAGAGTGATTACCACCAACTCCTGAATAGGCTAAAAATTAGTGAAAATGCTGCCTGAAGAAGATAGGGACTGTGAAGATGCAGCATCTCTATTTCTGGTCAGGGTGTCAGGTTATTGCCTTCCTTTCCCCTTGGAACACCACGGTTGTTTAAAGAAAATGTCTTAATCCCGTAACAACAACTCACTCCAAACCTGATTTGAGAGAAACTTCTAACTTTGCCATAAGGCTTAATGCTCTTCCTTTTGTTTAGCCAAGAAATATTCTTAGCTGGAAACATTCCAAAGCAGTTGGACCCATTCCCAATTTGTCAGGACCGATTCTAGAATGGGCTCAGGGTTCTCTAGGATTGTGAGCGGTTGTGGGAAGAGAACAAAGAGGGCAACACTGAAAGTCACAAGAAGGGTGCCATTGCAGTGAGAGCCCTGCCCCACTTCAGATCCAGCCTGGTGGGTGTCAGCATCTGTTTTGAGGGACCAGGTCCCATCTCCCCACATGGCGAATCTAGACCTCTTGGTTTATGACAATGGGGTTTATTGATTTAGAGTAGTTGGGGATCCACAGGAACAGAATTCATACAGGGACATTTGTGACAGTAAAGCAAGAAGGAAACTCTTCCAGACCTCAGACTGGCTCGATTTCAGATCAGTGTTCTGGCTGATTCTCATGCTGAGGGGTTAGCAGTTTACTATCCTGTGACTTTAGTAGATCTTGTTTGGCATGCACATACACATTGTGCATAATATATATATGCAAAGCAGCTGGGCAAACTTATTTTCATGCTAATCTTAAAAGGTTCACGCTCCATATTGTGAAAAGCTTTTTAAAAGTTCTTTTAAAAAGACAATCATTTTTTTGTTTGTTTCTGTATTAATTTTCTTGTGACAAACTCTACCAGAAAAGCAGCATGTCAAAAATAATTTCGGTTCTCTATAGAGCTCTCTTTTTGGTTATAAAGGTTCACTATTTATTTTACCTTTACTGACAATGTGAAACTTGCAGAAAATGTTCTCTTTTTAAATATACAGTCATAAGCTGTTCAAGGTAACCGTAACGAACTAAGTGTTATTTATTAACGTATTATAAAATAATGTTTGATCCAGTATGTGCTTGTCTTACTTAAAATTGGAATGTGAGACATGTTGCTGTGACCTTTTTTTTCTCATTTGCATTTGTAGATATCGTGTGAACTACAGTATATAATGATAACAATTAAAAGGATATTCTGTGGATGTCACGTCCATTTTGAAATGATAGAACTATACTAGCTTTGTATCATGTTTGGATAATTCACCCATGTTCACAACCTAAAACATCATTAAACATTATGTAATTAGCAATGGGAAAGAATCTTACTTAACTTAAATTTGGGGATTTCTCCCACACCTCTTTTCCGGATACATTATAATTCTGGACCCCAGTTTATCTCAAAACTCTTAATACATGCAGACCAAAAGCTTTCTGCATTCCTTTTAAATATTTGGTTGTGACAGAGCTTGTTGTTGATCAGGTTCACTGTTTCATTCATATTTATTGTAATATATTTTTTTGTTTTGTAAATATGTTACACACAACAAAAATGTGACTGGTCTAAGATATTTGTAATGTATATTAAAAGGCTCAAAAATACTTGTAGAACCCCAAGTTTTTTTTGTACTTGTAGGAATACGATGACAAGCTTGAATGATACCTTCTGATGTGATTCACTTTTAAGGGAAGTGATGAGGAAAGAACATGAAAAGGATGTAATACATTTGCACCAAAATATAATCTGAGAGGATTTCTGGATTTATATGCAAATCACTCTCGCTATGTTGCCCAGGCTGGTCTCAAGAAATCCTCTCATCTCAGCCTCCCAAAGTTGCCAGGATTACAGGCATGAGCCACTGCAACTGGCCAGGAAACTTATATTTGTTAATTCAGCCAATATATTTTTTAAAAGCATCCTATATATGTTTATTCAAATTGATCAAAGTTGTGATTAACAGAAGTTTTCCTGGGTTTTGCTTGGCAAATCTTGGATTCCAAATTTAGAACAAATATTTCTCTTTTTTTTTTTATACTTCAACTCAGCCAATATTTTGTGTATACTTAATGCAGGATACTAATATGTATGTAGAGAAAAATCAAATCAATAGATTTGATGTCTTGTTCAACATAAGGGGGTTATTCACAGGGTTACTATAAGAATTCCTGCCTTTTTTTGGGCAAAATGTCTACTGCAGGGAACAGTACAAGTGCCAACAACCATCTGACTTGAGAGCTGAACCGTTCTGGGCTTGATCTTGGCTTCCCTATTCATGAGTTACTATCTGCGGCCTAGTTTTTCCCATCTGTAAAATGGAGACTTTATTACCTAGCTCATAGTGTGAGATTATTGAATGGGAGGACAGAATATACAAATCCATCCTACGAAGTCCACTTGTGGTCCTAGGCAGCATGACAGAGGTCACAGATCCTTTACATTCAAGTAACACACTAATGGCAAATGGGGGATCAGGGTTTGGTTTCTAAGGTTTTACTTTCTGGTTTTGATGACTCTTATTCTTGAGCAAATGTGGAATGCATAAGTGGAGGAATAACTTTTTCAGTGCAACATCTGGCAAAAGTAAAGACGATTTTCTCAGATGCTTGAAGCCTACGGCAAGGTAGCTAACCTTTAAATCGTTTAGTAACCTGGAAAGGACAGCTGATGTGGGCAGAAAATTTGTGGGAGACAAATACTGTCTGAGGGTTATTCTGATTCCAGACCTTACCCTGGGGCAGATACCTCAACTTTTTGCTTCGCACCATCCTCCAGTGCTAAGCCTAGGGCTCTCAAAGTAGGCTCTGCCTCTGAAGTGTCAGTTTTCTCCAAAATCATTTTTCTTCTATGGGACTGGGTGTCAGGCTGACATGAAAGGCTCCAGCAAACTCTATTTAGGCTCTCTGGAGACATACTAGGTGACTGGGAATGGGAGGACACTTAACCCCATAGAATATTTTCATCAATTGATGTGAAAAAAAAGAAAAAGAAAAAAGTCTTCCTTAAGAGAGTAGCTTAGCACCACACCAAGAGAGCTAAGCACCACAGGCTTCCAGGACTGGGCTGCTGTTCAGTTTCCCGAGTGCCTTAACAGGTATCAGAAAGAATGAAACTAAAAATAGGGGAACAAACTTGTAGGGGAGAAGAAATCTTTTCCTCTACCCATCTTAGATTCTCCAGCTTGGACCCTGTAAATAGACTGGCCAAACACAGAAGAACAAGAGAAAAAACAGAAGCTTATCAACATGTGCACTATGCATGTAGGTAACACATGGGAATACTCAGAGGTGAAGAACTCAAAAGTTTGGTTCGAATTTGGGTGTATATAGCATCTTAGCAAAGGAACAATAACTTTTTAAAGAAATGATAAGACATTCAACCAGACCTTGAGTCTCTCAGGGCAGCAAGTTGTGGGAAAATAAATGTATAGGAGAGACTAGAGGTAGATAAAGGCTCAGTAGCCAAGGTTTCCTGTAGAGTCCTCAGATGCAGCCTCCAGGCTGATGGGGGCGGGGCGGGGCGGCTACAGCTGTCTCGGGATTTGCCTTCGTCTTTCCAGGTAGAGTGGGCAGGAGCTACACCTTTGTGAATTTATATCCCGCTTTGGGGCAAATAGGAGAAGGGCAGAGAGCTTTTCTTGTACCTGTCTGCTTCTTAATTGCCTTCCGCTCAAAATAATCCTTATGAGCTAAAGTGGCTACGTTCTCAATGACCTTGAATAGGTCAAGGGCCCCAAAGTGGAGTGCAGCGGTACCGATCTCCAAGCACCTGCAGTGAGTCATTCGAAACATTGTGTTGCGAGTGTGCCACCCATCTTTGAGGAGAAATTAGAGAAGCTAGAATAAACTGACAGATAATTAGGCATTTGTTGAGACATTAACCTGCTCAACGTGCAATCCTGAAAAAGTAAACTGAGCAAGGATCCCGCAAGGTGGTGGTGGTGAGAATGTACACGTCTCAGCAGCCAGGGGGAAACCAGGTTTCCACAGACCCCTTTCTCTTTCAGTCGTGTTGAAAACGGAGAAAAAGCAAGAGAAGAGGGACGCAACTAAAAGCGGGGGAAGGGACCCCCGTCCAACCTCCTCCAAAGAGATGCGGGAGAGGCACGTCTGACCCTTTCTGCACCTCTTTCCTTAAAGGTAAGATGAAGCACTAGGACCAGATGGTTTCTGAAGTCCCTTCCAGTGTTCTCATCAAGACAAAACTCTCCATCTCTGGGAGGAAGGTAAGGATAACAGGGCTCTTGGAGATCTAAAGATTGGCCTTGGTTGCCCACATTCTTTGCGACCCCAAGGTACAACATTTTTTAGAAAAACCAAAGAATAGAGGCGGGGCCGGGGGGGGGGGG